ACTCCCGCCACCACCCCCACCTCCACCGCCACCCCCTCCGCCTCCTCCACCGCCTCCACCGCCTCCACCGCCGCCCCCACCGACCCCTCCACCACCCTTGCCCCCCTTGCCCTTGCTGTTGCGGCGCCTCCCACTAGGAGCAGACGCAGCCCCGACCTCCGCGCCAACGAGGTCAACAGCAGCAGCAGAAGCAACAGAGGGGAGTAGGGGGACAGGGGAACACCCCTCAAAGAAAGGGGCGCGAGGGTCGTCGCGAGAAGCACCTATAGCAACGATACTCTTCTCAGCCGCAGTGAGGCGCTCCTCTAGCAGGTCGACGGTGAGCTCGGTGGGCCAAAGGGAGAGAAAGTGGTCCCTGACTGAAGCAAGGGAGTCAGGGAGGCGGGTGACTAGGTAGTAAAGGGTGATGTACATGGGGGGGGGGGGGTTCTTGGCACAAAACTCAGTGGGAAGCGCAGCTCGGTAGCGGGCGTCACTAGTGCGGAGGTGAGTAATGAGGTCAGCGACTGTGGCGAAAGCGGCAAGGTCAGGGAACAGGTACGGCAGCATGAGGCGGCTGAGGGCAGCAGTGGCAGGGGAGGAGTAGCGCGGTACTACAGCGTCATACAAAGACTGAGCAGTCTTGTACTGGCCAAAGTGCGTGCGCTCAGCAGACGGCAGGTGACTACGAACAGCAAGGCGAGCAACAGCGTCACGAGTGGTCCACTGCGAGCGAACCGTACTGTCAGCAGTGGCAGCAGGTGCAGGAGAGGCACCGGACGTGTGATCGAAAAGGGACACTCCATCCTTAGAGTCACACTGAAGAAAGAGCTGCAGGTCGTCAACCCACACGTCAAAGTCAACCGCACGCCCCTCAGCATCAAATGTAAGAACAGTAGGGCTAGCCATAGCTGCAGTAGTAGCAGTAGCAGCAGTGGCAGCAAAAATAGCAGCAGGAGCAGTGCGAGCAGGGCAGTGCTGCTCAGTAGTGCGGCGCGGCTCGGTAGGGCGGCGCGGCTCGGCTGGGCGGTGCGGCTCGGCAGGGCGGCGCGGCTCGGCTGGCGGCGCGGCTCGGCTGAGCGGCGCGGGTGCTTACCAGGGGCGGGTGCAGGGCAGGTCCGCAGCTGGCGGTTAGGTCAGGGCCGCGACTGGGGCGGCAGCAGGGCAGGGCCGGGACGGCAGGGGCCTCGACGGCAGGGGCCGCGACTGCAGGGGCCGCAAAAGCAGGGGCCGCGACGGCAGGGGCCGCGACGGCAGGGGCCGCGACAGCAGGGACTGCGACGGCAGGGGCCGCGACGGCAGGGGCCGCGACGGCAGTAGGGGCTGCGACGGCAGCAGGGGCCTCGACGGCAGAGGCCGCGACGGCAGCAGGGGCTGCGACGGCAGCTGGGGCCTTGACGGCAGCAGGGGCCTCGACGGCAGGGGCCGTGACAGCAGGGGCTACGACGGCAGGGTCCGCGACGGCAGGGGCCGCGACGGCAGGGTCGCGACGGTAGGGGCCGCGACGGGCCGTTGGGGGAGGGCCGCGATGGGCCGAGAAGGCAGGGCCGCAACGGGCGGCTCTAGGGCAGGGCGCGCGATGGCGCAGGTGAGTCAGGCGCGAAGCGCGCTTCGGGCAGGGCAGGAAAAAAAAATGATCGTGGTGGGCCCTAAAAAAAAAAGTTCCCACGAGGGAACCTGCTCAGAATACCATGTCAAAATAGTGAAGGAAGGAATGACTGAACTAGCAAGCAGGTGGGTACAAGTAGGAAACCTAAAAGTGTTGTACCCTATATGAACTACCCCACTACAGCCTAGACAGACTATAGCATATAAGTTTGACATCATCCACCTCGCTGGATGCGATATGCGCATTGCCCTCGTTGTTCCGCACCTTCGATGGAGTCCAATCGCTCGGACGCTTCCGACACTCATGCCAAAAGTGTCCCGCTTTGCCACAATAGTGGCACTTGCTTGCGCTGTTCGATGTGTTTCCCTTGCCGCGATCGCTTCCACCGGACGACTTCTTCGTTGCACCCTTGCTCCACTTGGACTTTCCTCCGGAACTCCCTCCGGAGAACATGGTGGTCCCCACGCTCTCATTAACGAATTGTCGGCGACGCGATTCCTCATGGAGAAGCCGGTCGACCACCATTTCCTTTGTTCAAGTGTCTTGCACACTATCGAGTGTCGTAATCAACGTCGACCACTCTTCCGGAAGGCCGCAAAGCAAGGTCAAAATCCAATCCTCCTCCGTGACCGTTCCACCGAGGTCCATGAACGTTTCCCCGAGTTCCTCCACACGAGTCGTATAATCGTGCATCGATTCGCCCTCGCGACACTTCACTATGAAGAACGCATTCCGAGCTAGGATCTTGCCGTGGAGAGTCTTGTTCACGTGAATCGTCTCGAGCCGCTTCCACGCTTCATGCGCCGACGCTTCGAGCTTGATGCACGTGCGCATCGCGCTCACTAGATTGATGCCGATGGGCAAAATCAACGTAGCGAACGCCTTTTGGTCATTTTTCTTCCATGCCACCGCTCTCGTCGTCTGGCTTGTTCTCCGTTCCATCGAAGAAACCCCAAAGTCCCCGCTCCATCATGAGCACTTGGAACTTAAACTTCCACGCGGAGTAGTTTTGTCCCGTGAAAATCGGTACCGCCGACGTGTCAAACATCGTCGCGGTTTCCCAGGGTTTGCCGGAATTTACAACTACACCATCCAAGGAAGTGCGGGAGGCCTCGCTTGATGTCACCATGCTAGCTACTCGTCGCGCACGTAGACTCCACCGACCAGCTCTGATACCACTGTTGTAAAGGACTCTCCTCTTGTTGGCAGGAACTGGGATTTGAACTAAACAATATAGCACTCTGTTAGCTTTCCAACGAGCCGTAGATCACCTCGATCGCCTAAGTATCGAGCGAGATATAGGCGTTTATGTGCTATGTAGTGCTCTTGGAATCAAGGAGAGGAGCTCTCTGGATTTTGTAGTTGAATGTATCACATAGAAAGTGATTCTTGATTTCAGTATATTCCATGCAATACAAAGCAAACAAATTTATATGAACTGTAATGCATCGAGTCGCTACACTCTCGAATGTTCGAGTAACATTTCGAAGGGGTGAAATTCGGAACTCGAATTTCACCGAATCGAATTCTCCTTCAGTCTCGATTCTTCTTGTGCTGCCATGTGGCACCGAAGTGCAGGTTCTTCCGAAGTCAAGCCATACTTCTTGGAACCTGCAACACATTCATGAAACTTCCAACTTGCAGCTCACTCAACAGTGAGCACCAGCCCTGTCGAAGTCCCTGGGACCAAACCTTTGAGTCCTGAGTTGTTCGAATTCTTGCCCCGATTTTCACGGGCGTAAGCCAAATTCAAAACTGGAAATCAGCGCTTCTTAGTAAAGTGTACCTTGGCCCTAATGTAACACAGGAGGATTTTTACCTCTTACTTAGCCGGAAAAGGTACACACAAACTACTCATCTACATGCCTACAGCCTCTACATCGTCCGCAAAAACACCGTCGGCAAAAATATCGGGGAGTGGGAGTTGGGGGGGGAGGGGATGGCGGCGGGAATTCGGGTGGGGGGGGGGGGGGGGTCCTTCAAAACAGAAACCAAAACTTTGATTCAGGGGAAGGCCCAAACGAGGCCCTTAACTGTAACGGGTGCCATGCCTATCTAACACTTTATATGGTCGAGCTGCTCTAAACGTAGGCCGGAATGTTCAGGGCATTAAGGGCAGATGCCCTTGCTTCTACAGCCCTGGTGAGCACTAGAAGGAACACTTTCGGTGGTTGGGGGCAATGCTCGCCTCACGCAACCTCCAACAGCTCAGGCTGGGCAGACAGATGTTCGTTCTTGTGCTTATCGTGAGACAAAATTCCTCCGCATTTCTTTGCACTCGAACGCGACGACGAGGACCTCAGGGACGCGGCTCGCGATTTCCACCCGAGGCTTGGCGGCTAGTACGGGAAGATATACCTCAGCCGACGAAAACTGCCGCCCAATTTCGCGGTTGCGATAGGACAAGGGCCCTCCTCGGGATTGACGAACTCCCGACGACTCCGAGTGGCAAACTGGGGCGAAATGGCAGACCTCTGGGCCCCTCGATGCCTCGGGATTGTCGACGATCTGACGACCTCGGGTTTCGCTAAGAGAAACCCGAGAAGGACATCTCAGCGGACAAAAACTCACTGCACGACACGTCGAGCCGCGATTTCAGCGCGGGAACTCGACTGCGCGCCCAAATTTGTCGGTGGCCGATCCACGCGGCGAAGATCTGTCCGTCAAAAAATGTTACAGATGTCTGCCATCGCGAGCTGCTCGCCATGTCGGTGTCGACTAAGGATCCAACGGCCTAATCCGAGCCACGCGGCACCATCTGTTGGTGCCTTAACACTGTCTAGGTTAAAGGAAAGTCGGCGCCGACCACGAGGGGCTCACAGTGGGCTTGCCATTGAAGCCCTTAGGCCATGGAAGTCGGCATGTCGGCGTTTCTGCGTAGAGGCACCAATGATGGGCCCACGCCACGTAACGCACGCACATCCCACCGTGGACGTGCCTAGGCTTACGCCCCTTGAGTGCAGCGCGGCGACCCATTAGCCATGCATGGCTCGTGGCACGTCGGACACTGCGCCGCCGCACGAGAACACATGCATAGCGGCACAAGCATAGGGGGTTGCGTGAAGCACGTCAAAATCTGGAGTCGCTCACGACCATACCCCTCCGTGACCTTGCGCTGGTGCTCATTCCATTGTGCGTTCCTGCGTTCCTTCCTGCTCTCTCTTGCACTTAGAATTTTCCGCTCCCTAGCTATCTTCGCGAGTGCGGGTTACTCGTGCGCCGACCAATCGATCACGTCGGCACCGGTAGCGTCTACCTGGCATACACTACACAGGTCGGTGTTTAGGTAACCGAACGGTCATAACGGGTCGACGTCGACGTCGGATGTTTTAGGGCAGCATCTCGGCATAGTATCAACAGCTCTACCGACCAAGCAAGACGGGACGAAAGAAACTAACTAGGTCGGCGACGCATGGCCAGAGCACGGCCTAGAGCCCAACAGCCGCAACCCATCCCACCCCCTGCCGACTCTGTAGACGCCGACATCAAAGCGCAGCTGGAACGCCTCGAGCTCGCCGCTGAGTTAGAAGCACTTGAGAGAGAATCCGACGAAGACGCCTGAGCAACTCATCGGGTGTACACCGCACCCGCGACTTAGTACCGTCTCTGGTGGTCCATCCCTTACCTCGAACACGGTCGACGGTATAGCAAACTACGAGCGGCCTCATGGCAGACGTCGACATGTCCGACGTTGGTCCCCCAACCGACCACATTCAGACCTCTACCCCCGAAGAGACGCTCAAGTTACTCTACGATGTTGACGCACTAACACAGATTCCAGAAGGGGAGTTCACCAAGGACATTCCCCCACCGCCGATAGGGGAGTTTACCAAGCCAGCTAGTAAGTCGACACCGACGCAAGATGGGCAGCCTGGACCTTCGTCGGTACCGGGCGGCTCATGAAACCAGGTTGATGACGAGGAGGAGGAGGAGGAGGAGGAGGAGGAGGAGGAGGAGGAGGAGGAGGAGGAGGAGGAGGAGGAGGAGGAGGAGGAGGAGGAGGAGGAGAGCGACGACGAATACGACGAGCGTCCTCCGCGTAGCACGAATCCGCGCACCTTGGAAGAACGCCTCCCGCGGGAACTTGAATACATAGATGACATGCTCGAACAGGACGAGGACGAGGACGAGCAGAACATGGTGGTGCCACGCGAACAGTGGAGAGCAGCAGACTTCGTCGAGGACGACATGGTTTACGCAAGCATCGACGTGCTGGTCATAGACGCCCTACGCCACCTGCAAACCTTGGAGAAGAATAGCACGCTGAGGCTGTAAACCTCGTTCATCTACCACTACAAGAGGTGGGCGGCAAAAATGCTGACGCAAATACGCGACAAGCTTCCCCAGGAGCACTGGCTTAGGCACGTCGATGAGATCGGCCACTACATCCGGGACAACAAGAAGAAGAATTGGGACAAAGTGGCCGAGGTCCCCCGGGAGTACATCTGGCTGCACGGCCCTAGGGTAACCGAAACCCGGCTGCGCGCCTACGTGAAGTTCATGATACGGGAGTGTAAGCTCGATGCCGAGTCGATCGAGGAGGGGAACAATGCCTCGCGAACCCAGCCTGTGCAATGTACAACGGTGCACACGCTCCTCGGGCGCATAAAAGCATGCCAGATGGCGGCGAGAGTGGAGGCGACGCTCTACCGGGGGAAGGAGCTGAGCATCATGCGGGAGATCTCGGTGGTCAGATCGGAGGTGCGGTTCATGGTCCGCACCAAGAACGAGAGGGACGTCAAGTAAGTTTGTCGACACCGCCAACCTCTGTCCACGTCACTCTGAAGTCGACGCCGTCAAACTAAAAATACGTTGTGGCTTTGTGGGCAGGAATTGTGCCGACCGGCGTCGCGGCACCATCGGCGATACCTACACCGCCGAACAGTTCCGCCAGATCATGATGAAGGTGCTGCCAACATGGGCGGCGTCGGCGTGGAACCCGCGGGCAACCGCTCCTTGGCAGACGCTGTGGCGATTTCTGCTCACCAAGGCGCTCACGCTACTCTCCCACCACACTCTCCTGCGAGGCGCCAGAATCCGCAAGATCACGCTCCCCGACATCTTTTTATACCGACTGGCTAGCACCTCGTCGGTGAACCCGGAGAACCAGCCGGTCGTCATGGTGATCGCCGCGCGGAACTCGAAGAATTCCAAGGATGCCCGTCTTCAGCAGAGCTACGCGGCGCGACACCTGGAAGCGGAGTTGTGCGCCGTCGGTGAGACCGGCCTATGGTTGCACTTCATCCTCGACCAGATCGGTCAGTTCAACGGCGTCGACTTCCTTCCGCCGCTTGACACCACCGAACGCGAGCGCTGGTACAAGAAGCACCTCTTCTTCGCCCGCAACGACAAGGAGCAAAAAGAGCTCTCCGCCGCCAGCCACCAACGTTGGACGCGGCAAATATGGACGACCAACAAGGTGTTCTGCAAGCGGAACGTGCACGCCGCTCGCGCCGGAGGTGCGCAGGAGCTAGCCATTGAAGGGACGCCTCGCGCCGAGATCACCGAGCTGGGTCACTGGGCACTCGACAAGATGACGCGTGCTTACATCACAGCCATTCCCGTTGGGGTGGTGATGAGGAAGGCCGGCTACTCGGGTTGCAAGCAAGACTACTTCTTCGGTCGCAGCAGGGTCGAGCCCTCCGACAAACTATTGGACATCATTGCCGAGCACATCTTCCCCGGCGTGGATGCTCTGCTGCGCGATGTATGTTAGTAGACGCCGACAATGTCCTTACGTCGCCATTGCTGCGTTTGCTGCCCAACGCCTTACTAACCCACATCACGTGCCGATGTGCAGGCGGAAACGCGAGCTGCCAAAGGGAGCGACGCCGACGAAGCCGCCATGCACTTCTGGCGTACCCTCCAGATGATGCGCCGCATCGTCGCCGAGGACCTCGCGGTGAAGCTCGTCCGCACCCCTTGGCACCCGTACGTCCAAGGTTCGAAGCTCTGCCGGATTGCCCTCTTTTAGCACTGGGCGAAAAGGGTCGAGAAGATCGACACCGAAACGATCAACAAACGCCGTGACCCAACCCTCATTCAGCCAGAGGTAAACTGTCGCTAAAGTCGGCGTCGATCTGTTACGGTTGTATTCTAAACTATTTTCGCCTTTCCGCCTTGTGCTGCAGGAAATCTCCGTTCGCTTGGACACCGAATACCATAACATGTCCCTCAAGGAGACGCTGAAGTACAAGAGGGAGCGCTCCGCGGTCGAGAAGATTGACCTTCAGGATGAACTCCAGAAGCGCAACGATACCATCGCGATGCTGACCGTCGAGATAACCCGTCTCACCGAGGCACTCCGTGTGTCAGACGCACAGAGGATGCCGGCAACGTCGCCGTCGGGGAACGAGCAGACGCCGAGCGAGAGTGGCTCCGCGGATTCGGCCAGTACGGGGGCCAGAAACAAGAAACGGTATGAGAAACCCCCACAGACACTCGACGAGGCTCGTTACGAGCTCAACGTGGTGCAACCTTGGCGGGAGGCAAAGACCGTGAGGGACGCTTGGCGCCTCTGGAACTCCGCCACCGCCGATGACACCCGTCGTCTTTGCGACAGGGTCGCCGAGACGGGATTCGTCGACTGCCACACCCTCCTCAAAGGCGCGACACAGGGTGCACACGACATGAAGGTGTGCCGCATGCTGAAGGCCATGGATGCAGTGCGCCTTCTTCGCTCGAGCGACGGCGATGCCGACACCGAAGCCGTCATCGCTGCCCTAAACAAGATCGCGGCGCCGGGCATCGGGACCTTCTGCGATGCCCTCACGGTGCTCAAACCAGGAACCGCACCGACGAAGTCCAAGGAGCCCGGCATGGGTGTCAAGGGGCTGGGCCCCAAGTCGGTCTCGAAGCTTCGTCTCGCCTGTGCGCTGGTGGCGGTCAACTTGAAGTCGTCCGCTTGGGTCGCCGTCCTGTTTCCAGACACTTGGGAGGAGCAGATGCCGAAGACCGTGGCCGACATGGCCAAGCAGACCGCACCTGTGCTGCGTCCTCCGACGAAGCGCAAGAAGGCAGCATGAATACATTTAGAGCATATGCGTGTGCGTAGTTTGATGATGATGTAATTGTGGTCGATTTTACCAAACCATGATGCTTCTATTATTCATGAAGTTGGTAAACGATGGTCATACTACAATGCCCATGCGAACCTAGATGATCCAACAATGGTAACTGCAGTCGGTCGCCGACCAACAAACACCCCGAAAATACTTGCAGACAGCCAAACCCTCTATGTCAACAGACATCCAACGACGCCGACGTAGTTTCGGACTCCGACATATACGCCGACAAAGTTCATCCCCGAGTAGCATGTGAGTGTGCAATTCAGAGGGTAGCGATCAGGTCGACATCTCCGACGAGGGTAGTTTCATGCACTACCAAAAAGTTACATGCACTACCACATAAGCAAACACAAACAAAAAGTTACAAGCACTAAAAGAACTACGCAATCGGCGCTGGCCAGACCAAACTGTTATACACCCTAGCAATCAGACCACCTCGCGCTCCCTCCGCGCGCCGACTACGCCACAGTGCTGTCCTTGCCCTTCCTGCCCTTCTTCCCCTTCTTCCCTGTGCTGTCCTTGCCCTGCTTGCCTCTCTGCCCCTTCCTCCCCCTGTGTTCAATGTCGTACTCCATCTGCGCGTCACACGGCACCACGATGCCGATCTTTTCGAGTTTCAGCCTGGCGACGGGGCACATTCCCCAGAACGCCAATGTCTCCACCGTCGCTCTAGCAATCACGTCGGCTTCGACTTCATGATCCACCCCCGGGTAGACCCGATGCAGAGCGAGACTCTGCAGCGTCGGCGCGACGTTGTGCGCAACCTCCCCGAGGGGTTGCTCCCTGTCGATCTCGGCCTCCAGCACCGCCTGCATGACCTCCTTGAAGACACCGGCGGTCTTCTCGCTCGCACCGACCACCATCGCCGCCGCCTTTCCTTTGCCCACAGCATCGACCACCTGGGCGTCGTCGTTCTCGACTAAGCACCACACGGCGCAAGCGGAGGCCGATAACGCATGTGCCGCCATCGCCGTCTTCTCATCAGTGTCTCCCTCCTTCCTCGCCGCGCTCGCAGCGACCTTCCCATACGCAGCGCACATGGACACGCGAACTATCATGGCCGACATCATAGCATCCGACTTCTCCTTGCCTTCCTTCGTGACGGCATCGACGGGGAACCAGATCGCCGGCAAGAGCGCGTCGTGGTGCGCATCGCCTGAGCTCTTGTACGCTCGATACTGGCCAAGAATGTCATCGAACCTGTCACACAATCACATGAAACGGGGCGACCATTAGTGACTCCGACATCGTCATCAACACTCGGCCGAAAGGGTATCCGACTTACCGTGTTTTTGGAAGGTACGCGCCCCGTGCCCATATCACCGTCCACATCCTTGTCGGCAAAATCTTGACCTCCTCCCACACCTTCCTCCACTTCTCCAACTCGGTTTCCTCCAAGCCGGTGAGCTCGGCCATGAGGACCTTGCTGACGTAACCGTCGTAGACGATGTACGCAATCGAGTGCAGGTATGCCAGCTCCATCTTCTCGCGCGACTTGCCGATGTATCGATTAGCGCCGAGCACCTTAATCTCGCCCACCCACCCTAGACCGTCGCCCGAGTTGTCGTGGCGAATGCCATGACCCTTCCGTCCTTTCTCCTTCTCCTTCTCCTCCTTCTCCTTCTCCTTCTCCTTCTCCTTCTCCTTCTCCTTCTCCTTCTCCTCCTCCTCCTCCTCCTTCTCCTCCGCCTTCTCCTTCCCTTTCTCCACCGACTTCTCCTTCGCCTTATCCCTCCCTGTCTCGGCCAGCATCGCCCGTGTTTTCCTCTGAGAGCTCGCCCTCCCTTTCCCTGTGTCGGCCTTCCCCTTCCGTTTCGACTCTCCCTCGCCGACAGCATCAATGGTCGTCTTTGGCTCCGCTGAACCAGCGGGGGGACTTGCCGAGGGCTCCACATGCGCCGTGTCCGAGATGGCCAAAGCAGCGGGGTGCCCGGGGCGTTTTACCGATTCCAACAGGTTCTGGATGGCAGCGATGTCGGCGTCGTTGTGGCCTATCGACGCCTGTGCATGGTCAACGGCTCCGCTGCCGGTGGCTAGCGCTGCCCTCACGCCCTTCTCCGCCGCCTCGTTTACCAACGTCGGCGTCGCGCTTGAGCCGGCTTCCGGCCGAGTCTGTGCTGGCGCTGCCGCACTACGTGCGCCTAACCGAGCGCGAAGCAATGCGGACTTTGGGTCCGCAGTAGGATGGGCGGCGACCAGAGGCGCGGTATGTGGGGCACTGGGCGTTGTGGCGGCGACCTGCGGAGTGGCCGAGCGACGTGCTGCTTCGGCGGGGGCGGCATCGACCAAGGGAGGTTGCTGCACGTCCTTGCGATGGGCCTCCATGCGGTGGAGCATTTCCCTGAGTGCGTTCGCCGCTGCGGGCACCTTAGTGGCGGACGGACCGTCGCGGTTAGCCGCAGCATCCTTCGCGTCGCCCTTGGCGGCAGACGGGCCTGCTGGAGCTGGAGTAGCCGCAAGGGCCGGCCCATCGTTGTTGGCGGCTGACGGGCCGACCGGCGCGCTGCTAGCCGCAGGGGGTTTACGGGGAATCGACGTGGTCCCCGCCACCCCGACAGACGGTCCCTTGACGGTTCTGGCGCCGCCATCTCTCGCCGTTTGAGCGGTTGGGATCTCCTTGTCGCTCAAGCCTTTCCCGCCGCTCACCAGACCATGGGGCTTCTCGGCGACCAGGGGCGAGGCTGTTGGTCCAGCGTCTTGTGCGGCAACCTCGTCGGCATGGCCCCCATCTTCACTCCCGATTCCATCGCCCTTGTTGTGCGACCTTATCACCTTGGCCCCGTTCTTCTTGAGCTGGTCGACCACGCTCTGACCTCGAGTCCGCGAGCCGCCTGGACCCACCGCGCCGACGCCGCGGCTCCCATCGGCTCCCTTGCTCCGCTTCACGCTCCCCGCATCATCTCCGCCGCCCGCCCTTTTCCGGCCCTGCTCTGCCTCCCTTCGTTGCGCGGGATCGGCGTCATTGGCCGACGGCGACGACGCACGCCGACCAGCCGCCACATTGCCGATCACCTCGGTCATGAGCTTTAACCCGGACGCAACAAACGACTGTTGGGTGGCCTCCGTCACCGCCTTCAACACGTCCGCCTTGAACGACTTCATGAGCTCGTCCGGGAAGGCTGGCGTGGGTTGCGGCGGGGGCGGCAGCGGCACGGCGATGGTGCGAGTTACTGCGGCGGCAATGTTGGTCTGCGCGGCGGCTAGGTGCTTTGAGATGAAGTCCTCCAAACCCAGCTTCGCATCGTCCACCACCGCTTCCACGTGGTTGCCCAAGGCGGTGACCGCTTTTGCGCGTTCAACTGCCATACTTCCCTCCGGACCGTCGATTTCCGCCAACCACGTCGACGCCTTTTCGGCGAAGGACTTCATCGCCTTCCATGATTCGTCCATGTGGTTGGTGATGTTGTCCGTGATGGTTGTCGACACGGCCGACGTCGCATCTAGCAGCCGTTTCGCCGCATTATGGTCGGAGACGGCGACCTGGTTGGCCAGCGACTGGAGCTTGTCGAGGAGTCCCCGCATCCCCAACACAAACCTGTCCACCCGACCCCTTTCATCTTCGAGCGCCTTCTCCATACGGGCATTTTCTGCCGTCAATCGCCTGTTCTCCTGTCGCAGCTGCTCGACGACGTCCAGCGGTGCCTGCCGACCAGATGCGGAGGAACCGGGATGACCGCGCGCCGCCTTCTTCACCCTAGACCGCTCCCCCCCGACCTTCCCTGCGGTGGTCTCGGTAGGCGCTTCCACGCCCGTCTGCTTCGTGGCCGCGGCGTTATCCCCTTCTCCAACGACCTCGAGGTCGATAACTTCCTTCGCGTCGCCAACCACATCGCCGACCACGACCTTCTCACCCCCCTCGTGAGCCTCCTCCACGCAGACTTTCTCCTCGTCGGCATCCTCCCCTCCCTTGTTCACAACATCTGCCGACCTCTCAGCCGTTTCCGCCGCTCCCTCTACGTACTCCACCTCCATTTCCTCCAACTCCCACTCGACCTCTTCCTCCTGCTCCCCCTCTTGCTGCTTCTCCGCCTCCTCCTCCTCCTCCTCCTCCTCCTCACGATCCTCATCGACCTCTTCCTGATCCTCGTTATCATCCTGGTGCTTCTCCGCGGTCCTAGTCACCGCCCTTCCCGCCTCCTCATCTTCCTTGTCGACGCCGCCTCCGGGCTCTCCGATCGAAGTCCCACGCGCATCATCGACGGTGTAGGCGACACCTACTGCTTTGGATGCCGAAGGGGCCTCCTCGCCGTCGTCGTCACAGGCGTCGGCAGCAACTCCGACATGGCCCGACCGTTTGAGAGCGACGTGCTCCTTGACGAATGTTATCATCCCATTCCGCAGCCCCTTCAACCCCGAAACGTTGACCTTGTCCATGCTGGTCACACTGCGACGGAGGGCGCCAGTCAGGAGATCCATCCTCCTCACCACCCAGCACAACGCGCTCATTGCTAGCAGGCCGGAGCCCGCGTCCCCGTCCCGGACGGCGTCGTGCACTTTCTGCATACAACAGTTCAGACCGCAAGGATGAGCAGCGCGTTCGGCAATCGCATCACGCAAGGATGACACACTATAGGATGGTAAATCGTTCGGAACTCACATCTCGAACGGGTTGATCACAGTCGGCGAGCCTGTCCTCCACCTCTTCATCAGAAGGCTTCGCCCACTCCCACTTCCTACCATCGCACCCAAGCTCGGCCAAGACCGCCGCCCGGAAAAACCTGAAGCAACATGGCACAGATTGTCGGTAAGCATGGTTTACGCTGCGCGGCGAAATTGCATGCGTCGTCGACTACACTATCGAGCTCACTTCAGCACGCGGATCGCCTCGTCGCGGTGCCACTGCTTCACGGTCTGCGGGTCAAAGTGCCGGATCGAGGTCCTGATCTTCTCCCCCCCAGCCTTCAACAGGTCGCCGGGGTACAGGATGACAACGATGCTGCAATGTGCTCCTGGAAGCGGTGCGATGCTGCACAGGCAAGGCACGACGACGTCGTTCAGAACAGAGCACCGACATAGGATGCAACACACATCGTGACGACTTCTAACCAGCTCACCTCGAAGTCAAGGGGATAACCACTACGTCGGCGTCGAAAACCGTCGCAAGGCATGTGTGGTCCGCCCGACCCATCGCCGCCCGAAGCCGGCCGAGTCCTATCGACCACAATCGCATGTTGGCCGGCGCCGCGCGAGTCCATGCGTGCCTGCACACATGCATGGGAATAAGAAGTGAGTGAGGATGTGCACGACACGATGGTGGATACGTTGGTTTAGGAACCGCCAATCGACGGGGATGGCAATCGTACGATGGTGCACCACCCTCGCGACGTTGTAATCAATTGAGCCGAGCGATGCGGGCCTAAACCCTGTGCCGACACTGACCTACTGTAGGTAACCCTGAATCCTAAAGTCGGCGTCGACGTGAACTTGTAGCGCCGCCCTAGACGTGGGACAACCCTAACACCGACGCTGCGTCGACCAGCAATGTAAGAAGATGTCGACGCCGACATCCCCATACGGAGACTCACTTGATGCCGAATCCCAAGCAATGGGCGTTGAACTCTAGCCTATGGTCTACGAGGACGGCGTAGTCGTGTTCCTCGAGCTTGGCAGTGAGTCCACTACCGAGGTCGAGATACAGAGGGAAGTCCTACACGGTCGGCGCCGCTTCGTCGGCTTTCGGGTCGGCCTCCATGGCGGTGAAGGGAATTGACTACAGGCTAAGGGACGAGAATGTGGGAGTAATGTTGAAAGAGAAACGAGATGCCGAAAATGAGGAGCGATGCCTCCTTCCACCAAGGAAAGGGAGTCGGTGCCCCACAGGCCGGTTGAGGCATCGCCCAGGGTTCGTGGTGCCTGGCTCTGCAGGGTTTGGCGGGCTGCATGCACAAGTGGCACAAGTGCTCCTTCGCCGCCGAGCCAGCACGTCGACTTCGTGTCCCCTGGCTTCGCTCGGCGAGGGGACGCAATTTCGCATGCGCGCGGTGCGACGTTTCGGCCGACACGTGTAGATTTCGCAGCGGATCGCGAAAACCCCGCGCCGCGATGCGAGCGATCCGATTTCGCCGGGCTCGAAATTTCGCATGCACCCGATGCTAACCCGCGTGCGAGCACGTGGCGTCACCGCAACGGGTCGCGAAATTGTCGAGCGTCCCGAGGGGAGCACCCGAATTTCGCATGGCCCTCGCCTGCCCGTCCAGGCAGGTCACGAGGGTCACTAGGACGTCGCGGGCAGCAGGCACGGGAGGGCTGCCTTCGCGCGAGGGTTACTTTCCCTCGCGCGAGGGCTCGCCAGCTCGCCTGCTGCCAACCTTCTTCTCTCTGCTGCCAGCACTCGCCTTGCCTGTATCTCCCTCAGCATCACCGCTTCCTTCTTCCTTCACCACCGCAGCACCCTCGATCTCTACAGGCACTTTCATTTCAACCTCGTCCATACCCAAGTCTTTCAGACCGCTTTCCCTCACTACAACCTTCTCGTCCGCTGTGAAGTCTCCTCCTCGGGCCCCACCGTCTCCTTTCTCCCCACCCATCTGCTCGCACGTATCCATCACCTCCCCACAAGCGTCCTCAGCCTTCTCATCCACCATCCTGTGACTCGCCTGCACCCCTCCCACGCCGCGCTCCAACCCGCCCTTCTCGCCCCCTTCCGCCTTGCCCTCGCTTCTCTGCTGCCCGCCCGCCCCCGGTATTTCCCAAGGGCTGCCCGCTTCGCACGGGCTGCCCGCCTCGCCCGCGGGTTTGGGTGCGCCTGAACCGGTATGGGCAAGGGAAGGGGAGTCGGACATGGGAGCAAGGGGGGACAAGGCGGGCAGGGCAGTGGAGGCTTGCCCACAGGAGCCTGGCCCCCGGGGAATGACCCCATTCGGTCCTGGCATGGTAGCTGCGACCTTCGCACCCCCCTCCTTTGCGCTGCCGTCCGTGCCATGGCTCTCCTTGTCCCCACCATCGGCGTCCCTCCCCTTGTCCCCACTCTCCTTGTCTCCACCCACTTTCCCCCCAGCGCGTGTGCCAGCAGCGTCCCCCTCACAGCTCTGCACCACCGCCGCTGCATCCCCTTCCCCTGACGCGCGGAAGCAGATGGCGCAGTCAGAACCGCACCCCAGCGAGTCCCCGTCCGCGTGCTCGTGGCTCGAGTCGTGCGGGCTGCCTGCCTGCCCCGCCACAGGGCTCGCCGCAAGCACCGCCACGGCCGCTACCTCCGCACCCCCTCCCGCTTCCACCACGCACACAGCAGGGCGAAGGGTCGCTGGCTCAACAGACTCAGTAGAGGCAGTGGGGGCTGCGGTAGAAGATGGAACGGATGAGAAGTCACCGAAATCATCATCCTCCTCATAGTCAGCTTCGAGGGACGATGCTGCTGCTGGTGCTCCTGGCGCCGCTGCTACCACCTCTGCAGCTGCCGTTGATTCTGCTGCTGCTGATTCTTCGCCCTCCTGCTTGCTCTCCTCCTCCTTCACCTCCTCTTCCTCCGGTTCCTCCTCCTCCCCAAAGAGCGACAGTGGGATGGGGGCAGCAAGGTTACGAGGCTGAAGAACAACTACTGCAGGCGCAGCAGCTGGTTTCTTGGCTGCTGGTGCTTCAGGTGCTGCTGCCGCCGTCACCGCTGCTGCTCCTGGTGTTGCGGTTGCTTCCTTCGCTCCGTCACCCGCCTCTCCTGCACCTCCTCCTGGCACTGCTCCTGGGACTGCGCCTGGAGTTACACCTGAAGCAGCGACAAGGCCCGCACTTGGGATTACACCTGGGGCGGTTGCGGGGCGGCGGTCGTGCGCTCGGCCCGGCCCTGGGCCAGGCTGGCGGGCCCGCACGCGCGTCAGTTGCCCGCCTCGTCGGGCCCGGCTCCGACGACCCCCTCTCGACGACACTGGCAAATCGGTTCCGACGACCGATTTGCGCTGGGATGTTCGCCTCAAGAAGCAGGGGTAGAAAAAGCAGTCTGCGGCAGTGTGTTTCCCCCAAACAAAGCTTTGGAACTGGCCCAGTTTATGTACCGCTGCTCCGAGCGTGTTGCAGTTGTTCGTAAAACAACATTCGGGGTGATTATGTACCGCCAGCGTGCTTTCGGAAGTTGAATCAATGAGTGTGGTGAGGCAACTCGGCAGCTGGACTGCTGGAAGAAACAGCTGAGCTGCCTGCCGTACGAATCGTGAGCAAATTTAGCCGCTCTTTTTAGCAAAGCTCCTCTATTTGCTGTTGATGAAATGGAGCTGGAAGCAAGTGCTACGCGCCGTTCGCATGTGTGGGCTCTAGCTTGACGCTTGGCGGATGCGGGCAGTCTGTGCTGCGCTGTGCAGAAGGGTCACGGGTTGCCAGCCATTCGCGTCGCTCAACCGACCAAATGTGACATTCAATTGGCTCCTGGTGCGTGCTTGTGGGTCTCTGAATGGACCTATGACATCATGCTTTGCAGAACAGGTCAATGAAACTGTTAGCTCCAATGGGGCCGTACAATATTTTGTACGTAACCTAGACTTGCACTGCAGGTGCTTGTGGTGGGTCTGTCACTGACAGTTAATCAACCAGCTTACCCAGCAATAAGTGTTGTTGACAGGTGGAACTTTGTCATCAGCTGGTTGGAACAATGACGAAGAGTGGGCGCGTAACCTAGACTTGCAGCAGCAGCAGTGATAGCCTAGACTTGCAGCAGCAGTGATAGCCTCTGGGCGCGTGCGGATAGATGAACTCGTCAGAATTTCTCTAAATGTACACTACGTCGTTGAACCGTCCCTTTCCTCAAGAGGTAATTTGGAATTGTCCATTATGAACGATTCCCCAACAGCGCATCTGTGGACAAGGTTCCATTTATTAGGGGATCGGATTTGAGAAAACTGGACCCATAAAAAGTGTCGTGTGACAACAACCACTGGAAGTACAACGTAGTGTAGCATCTGACGGACGGGCACGATGGAAATTCGACTGACCTATACCAATCGAGAGCTCACGTGATCAAGGGACTGTCGCCAGCTCATGAACAGTCATTGGATTCGTGTTGCTGACTGACACGCATGAACAGTCATTTCGTGCACAATCATAACTTGGAGCTTGGTCATGCAAGAGGTGTAATTCGTTAGCAGTTGTCCATTCGCGACAGCGAAATGCTACCCACGTGACACCGCAACTGTGCCGTATCGCAGTTTCTAGAAACGCAGGAGAATTGTGGTCAACGAAGGCCTTGTTCGGCCTTGTACACCGAGTCCTCGCCAATTTCACGTCCCCTGGAACTTTGGACAAATCACCCTTGACCGTTTTTGGCTTTACGGATCAAACATTCAGGAACTAAAGGCTACTCGTGCCATTGTTTAGTGTCTATCTCGTGAAACTCTCACGCAGTGGCTGCAGCACATAGACTGGATTTTCCGCTGCGACCCTGATTTTTGTTTTCCTGCTGACTCGTGTGGGTAGTCTCGAACATTTTCCTACTTAAAGCCTAAGCTTTCCGAATGACCCCTGATTTCGGGTAAACCAGAAAGGATTGCTCAGGGGTGTGAAATTGGTGGGATTGAAATTGGCGAGGACCGTGTGTACATGAAGCTGCCTAGAGCTGGGGAGACGTGAGCGTTTTGAGGAAAATAACTGGGTGAGGAGGAGTGTGACTTGAACGGAAGACCCAACCAACCTAAGGTACAAACTGCCGTGAGGGTTTGAAAACGGTAGCAGAGAGCATTTGTATGGGAAGGCAGAGGGTTTGAAGGGGAGAGGGGGGGTGGGGGGAGGGTCGAGTGGTTTGTGGTTCAGTGTTCTGATGTGTCGATTGTGGAGGCTGCGAGTGTTGATTCTGTCTTTGTGCTCTGCAACGATTGGTTGGGACGATTCGCTAGGCTCGGCTAAGTCAGCTAGATATGGGTGGTTACCACAGGTGTGATGTGGCACGTTCTGAATATTAGGTTGGGGTGATCTACTGGGCTGGGCGTATGTGTGATTGGTTTGCTTTCGTCACTTTCCAAGGTTACGTGAACATCTGACGCTGTACTTGAACGGAAACTTTCGTTTTATGTTTTCACGATATCAACGACATTTGTTGCCTCGTTTTTCCTCTCCTCGCTAGGTGTCGAGTGGGTTTGCATGTTTCGTGATAAATCACCACAAACCTGGTTTGGTGAACTCGGTAAGCAACACAATGATGAAACTCATACAAGCGCTCTGAACCACTCTATATTTCGGATCCAACCAGCCTAGCACAACGTGTTTGCAGCTAACAGCTTCGCGTAACTGGGATGTTCCTGACACAGATCTGTACTACCGTCACATTTTCTCTGAGATGTTTTGTATGAGTTCGGTTACTTTCTCTGTGCTTTTTCGTAGAAAAACCTACAGGAGCAAAAAAATTGCGCTTGACTTTTCCGCGATGAAGGGGTGGGGGCGTTTTCCCACAGTCCGAGGTGAGCTCGTCAGGCTGTGGAATGGAGTTTAATGTAGTCTGAGATGCACTGGGGACTACTACGATCACAAGACCGCACAGTCGGGCCGCCCCCGATACGCCACTATGCTTATGCACCTCACTGACATGGTCAAGGGGGGAGAAACTGTGTTCCCATAGTCTGAGGTGAGCAAAGCGAACTCTGTGAAAGGGAGTGGACTAGTCAGCTGTTTGATATTGTAACGCATCGCCTTCCTACCCTACGAACAATCCTAGCTATGACTCTCTAAAGCGCTACCTACGTAAGGTAGCGACTTACGGGAAGAGAAGGTTGGAGGAGATGAAGGGTGATAGGTCCACAATTGTGGACAACCACCCACTAAAAGACAAGCATGGTCGGGAACCAACCCAACCTCCACACTGGTTGGAATTCCAACCAATAGCAACTGAACATTTCCGTTATAATTTACAACATGTAACAAAACAATCATTATTACAATTGTTTTGCTCTCATTGGTTGCAAATCCAACCATTGTGCCACCTAAGCAAACTCACCCCTAAGAGCTCCTTACCCTTGTTGTCATGAAGGGAGTGGAGCTCCCTAAGGAGGTCTAGGAGAGGTGTGAGCTAACCATGCTCATTCTCAACTCCCAACTTCCAATTAGCCAAAAATGGAAATGGGATTTTCTCTCCAAGTGCTCTATGCTCCAACTGTCAGAGGTCCACTGGTGATCCCCGATTGATCCTAGGGAAGGATTACAGGCTCGTTGTCCTGGGGGGTTATGGGCGCACTGACCCGCTACTTAACAAGCCCTTTTATCCCAATGGTCTAGTGGTTGGGATTCTAACATGGTATCAGAGCGAAGGTCTCGGGTTCGAATCCCAGTGTGTGCACTTCGGGCATCCCAGTGCGGGGGGGTGTTAGAGGTCCACTGGTGATCCTCTATTGATCCTAGGGAAGGGTTACAGGCTCGTTGTCCTGGGGGGTTATGGGTGCACTGACTCGCTACTTAACAAGCCCATTTATCCCAATGGTCTAGTGGTTGGGATTCTGACACCAACTACTCTTTTGATGAAGCTACTCCATCACTCTCAAAGTTTCAACTACCAAGTCTCCAAGGCTCAAGGCTAGCATAGAGACTAGTTGATGTTGTGTGTGCTTATTATTGGCATTTTATAAGCCTATTATAGACCCTTTTGTGGTCATTGGTTATAAGCCCGTGTCTTCATTATTATTTTAAGGGCGTTTCTTTACAAGCCCGTGTTACGGATACGTTGCTGTATGATATGCTACTGTGCTCACGCATCTCACTGGGCATGGTGAAGGGCGGAGAGACTATTTGTCCCCACTCAAAGATGAGCGATGCACTTTTTTTTTTTTTTTTTTTTTTTTTTTTGAACTCAAAAAAGTTCCCTCTTGCGAGATTTGCCACTCTGACATGAAATCACTGTGCAATCAAGAGTGACCGCAGTTCTTGTAACCAGACCAAACCAAAGCAGACCAGCCAGACACTGGACCAGCCTCTTTCAAACGCTCTCTCCCTCCACTTCTTCCTCCCACTCTTCCTCTCCTCCCCCTCTCCCCACCTCTCCTCCCCTTATCCCCCCACTTCCCCTGCTCCTGATCCTCTCTCCCTCCTTCAATTCCCCCTCTCCCACTCCTGCCTGCACCAGGAGGATTCCACAGTGAAGGGTGACAGCTGGAGTGACTGTGGAAAGCAGGGAATCACAGGTGTGCAGAGCGGTGTTGGTGTGGTGTGCAAAGCGGTGGTGGTGTGGTGTGGTATGCAAAGCGGTGATGCTGGTGTGGTGTGTAGATCGGTGCCTAGAGGTATGGTGCGATGGGATGGCATGGCATCATGGCATTAGGACTATGGAAGGGTGACACCACGCAGGGCATGTCTGCATGGCCAAATTTTCATTGTGTAACTTCCAATCCAAGTGCACATACATGTAACATGAATCAGCAGCCGTTTGTGCTGGGCATCCTTGGTGAATCGTTGTTCAAAGTTCTGAAAAGCAAATCCAACCTATGTGCATGTGCGCAAGAATCAAACAGCGGGCCTTTTTCCCTGCGTGTATATCATCCTTTGAGTTCCACTTTCTCGAACAGCACCACTTTCCCTCTCCTCTGTAACTCCTTCTTCCCCATCCCCCAGTGAAGCCAGCCAAATGCAGTGCGCTGCTCTTCTTCAGCATGAAGCCAGACGGCTCCTTTGATACGGCTTCGCTGCACTCGGGCTGCCCCGTGGTGGCTGGGCAGAAGTGGTCGGCCACCCAGTGGATCCACGTTGACTCCTTTGACCTGCCCTTCTGTGACCGCATGTGTGTGCTTCTGTGCCCAAAGAATCCAACAGCAACCCTTTCATCCCGTTCTGTGTTCCCGTTGTTCAACATTCCAGTGGAGCCAGCCAAGGGTAGTGCGCTGCTCTTCTTGAGTATGAAGCCAGACGGCTCCTTCGACACGGCTTCTCTGCACTCCGGCTGCCCCGTAATCACCAGCGAGAAGTGGTCGGCAACCAAGTGGATCCACGTGGACTCCTTCGACCCGCCCTTCCGTGACCCGGACGTATGCCAGGTACTGTGTGTGTGTGTGTGTGGTTTGAGCATGCATGGTGCTGTTGCTGGTTGTGGGTATGTGCGTCTTCCATGTGTCTTCTCAAGTTTTTCTCCATTGGCCCGCCCTTCCGGAACCCGGACGTGTGTGCTTGTGTGTCTGCGCGTGTGCATCCACGAACCACGTGCTCAGCAGCACCCCATTCTCTCTCCTTCCATGTGCTTTCACCCACCCTTTCGCGACCCGGGCGTGTGTCAGGACGATGATGTGAACTGTGGGGACTAAGCGCGCGCGGGGGAGTGCGAGAGGAACCCCAAGTTCATGAAGGGCACGGGGAAGACGCAGTATGAGCCAGGGTTCTGTCGGAAGAGCTGTGGGGTGTGCTGAGGAGGAGTGGAGTGCGGTGAGGAGGAGTGGAGTGCGGTGAAGTGTGGCGACTGGGCGTGGGCGGGGGAGTGCGAGAGGAACCCCAAGTTCATGAAGGGCATGGGGAAGATGCAGTATGAGCTGGGCTTCTGTCGGAAGAGCTGTGGGGTGTTCTGAGGAGGAGTGGAGTGCGGTGAGGAGGATTGGAATGCGGTGAGGAATGGAGTGCGGTGAGGAGGAGTGGACTGTGGCGATTGGGCGCGGGCGGGGGAGTGTGAGAAGAACCCCAAGTTCATGAAGGGCACGGGGAAGACGCAGTATGAGCTGGGCTTCTGTCGGAAGAGCTGCGGGGTTTGTTGAGGAGTGGAGTGCGGTGAGGAGTGGAGTGTGGCGACTGGGCACAAGCGGGGAGGTGTTAGGAATGCTAAGTACGTGAAAGGCACAGGGACGGCGCAGTATGAGCTGGAGTTCTGCCGCACGAGCTGCGGGGTGTGCTGAGGAGTGGAGTGCGGTGAGGAGTGGGCTGCTCAAGCCAAAAGCTTATTTTCTTGCTTTAACTTGTGTTAGCTGGGTTGACCACTTGTGTTGAGCTTGGTGCTTCCGCGGTTCCTCAGCGGTGACTCACCTGTGACTCAGCTGTGACTCAGCAGTGACTCAGCAGTGACTCAGCTGTGACTCAGCTGTGACTCAGGTGTGAGATCGGACATGACTGTCTAGGATTTGCAGTTTGAGGGTTACAATTAGAAATTGTTTACATGGTATTTACAAGTGAAGTGACAGATCCAAGGAAATCTGCCTAGCTGCAATATCTACACCCAGTGCCATTGATACAGTATCTACACCACAATTACCGCATCCACCATTGCCTATTCCTTCACTTCTCTCCAGAATAGAGTCTGTATGTTCTAATTGCTCTGTCAGTGCCGTATCAGACCCCTCCCCCTCCCTTTCCTCCTCCCAAACTTCCTGCTTCCATTTCCTCACCCCTGGTCCTCCCACTTCCCTTCCTTTTCCCAATTTTCCTTCTCTGCTCTCCCTTATTTCTCCTTCCATCCTCTCCCTGAGATCTCCGTCTCTCCCGACTCCTCTCCGGTCCCCCCTTTCCATTGGATCGGGGTCTCGCCGAGCCTTGAAGTCGCACCGAACCTCCAGCTGCTCCGCCCTCCTATGCTCCCACTCATTGCCAATGGCGGCTGACGCAGCGATTGCTTCAGCGCCAGCAGCAGTCTGGGAACCAGCAGCAGCATTGGCAGCAGCAGCAGCATTGGCACCAGCATTTGTTTCATCAGTCGGAGCAGCAGAGGGAGCAGGAGCAGTAGGAGCAGTGAAGCAAGCAATGGCAGTAGGAGGAACAGAGGGAGCAGTAGCAGCAGGAGCAACAATCTCGGCCGCAGCAGGCAAAGCAGCAGCAGCAGGAGAAGGAGGAGGAGGCTGTGGTAGTGTGTGGTTGGGGGAGGGGGGAGGAGCAACAGGCAGATTATCCAGCATCTCCTGAATCTGCTGCTCCAGAGTCAACAGGCCTTCATTGCTGCGACCATCTCTGCCAGCATCAGCGCCACCGCCACCGCCACCGCCATGACCATCACCACCACCACAACCGCCAACACAACCATCACTACTGCTTCGGCTGCCGTCGTTGCTGGCAGTACCACCAGCAGCACCGCTGCTGCCAGCCCATTCAACACGCAAAGCAAAAATCCCGCTCCCTCCACCACCACCAGCACCGACTGAAGCCGCAGCACCGCCGACTGAAGCTGCAGCACCGGCACCACCACAGAAAGCCGCATTACCATCACTTCCACTCCCGTCTCTTCCGACCAATCCCCTCCCTGCCGCTGCGACTCGTGCTCTCCTCTCTAATCCCTTTAGCAGCAGATGATTTCTTAGTCGAATCAAACTGCTCCCACTCCCGTCTACTCCATCGAAGTCCCTCTCTCCTCTCTCTCCTAACCCCAGCAGCCCTTCAGCAGCAGCAGCGCCCCGATGCTCTTCATCCACCTCCATATTCTTCTTCTCCGACTGCCGGCTCCCTCCTCCGTGATTGGGCTTTCCTCCCCAAGGGATATCAGCATGGGCAACGGTATTAGCAGCAAAATCAGCAGCGCTGAAAGCTGCAGCAGCAGCAGCAGGAGCAGGAGCATCAGCGACAGCAGTGGAAGCAGGAGCAGCAGCACCAGGAGCAGGAGCAGCAGGAGCAGCAGGAGCAGCAACAGCACCAGCAGCAGCAGGGTGTGGAGGGATGGTACTCTGGGGCAGCTGAGCAGTGCGAGAATCTGTCAGCAGAGCATGAGAAGCCGCCTGCTGAGCATCAGCTCGTCTCATCCCCACCGCCTCCATCCATGCCTCCAGACTCCTCGACGACGGCAATGACTGGCTCATACAACCACTGCTGCTCCTCCTCCTCCTCTGCTCCTCCCCCTCCTCCTCCTTCCTCGAACCATCGCTACTCCTCCCCGTATTCCTCCTCCTCTCCTCCAACTCCCGTACAAATCCTCTCAGCTTCATCTCCTGGAGCTCTGCACTTCTTGCCGCCTCTCTCCGTCCTCCCTCCCTCACTCCACCACCACCACCACCACCACCACCACCACCACCACCACCACCACCACCACCACCACCACCACCACCACCATCATCACCACCACCACCACCACCACCACCGCCACCACCACCACCACCACCGCCACCATCACCACCGCCACCACCACCACCGCCACCAGTACTGCTCCATCCTCCTGCTCCACTTCGTGCGTCCTCCATCCCATGCCACGTGGCAGCTGCATATTGGGTACCAGCCGTGCCGCCAGCCGATTTGTCGTCCACGTTTGTGCGCGTCCTCACTGGCTTCGCATCACGAAGCATCCAGGAAGGTGCCTCCAGCGGCCACGTAGGCATCTCCAGCATTTGCTGACGTGGACGCGGAAACGGGCGTGAATTGAGCTGATTGGCTGGAGGCTGGAAAGGTGTCACCTTGAAAGAATCAGCAGAGTTGCCGACACATGGTGGAGCGGAACGGAATGGGTGGATGCCTGCGGTAGCAAGGTTGGGAACTGCGGATTTTTTTTTCGGCTCAGAATTGGGTGTTGTTTTGATGGGGTTGGCAGGGGTGTGGGCGAATGGTGGTGTGGAAAGGAAGGGGCGGGCAGCAGCATAGGCGGAGAGTGCCTGTCGCTGCAGCAGCCACAGTCGCATCCACGGAGGTGCCGTTGCTGCTGCTGTTGCTGCTGATGCAGTTGCTGGCGGTGCTGTTACTGCTGCTGCCGTTGTTGCTGCCATTGCGGCTGCTGTTGCGGCTGCGACTGAAGATCTTGCTGCTGCTGCTGCCTTTCCCTCCACCCTTTTGTCACATTGCTGGAGAGGAGGCATGAGGCTTTCAGGTTGGTCCAGGCCGCCAGAAGAACGAAAAGAGAGGTGGTGGGCTGATTCCGAGGGCAACTGGAAGGGATGAGAGGGAGTCAAGGGATTGTCCTGCCACGTGGCATGCTGTAACAGCCTTGACTGGTTCGTGCGCGTGGCGCTGGGTGGCATGCCACGCGCCTTCTCTGCTCCGCCCCACGATCCCCTCCATGTTGAGCTGGCAGATGGATGACATGCGTCAGCAGGCATTCCAAACACGTCAGCAGGTGCCTCGTGTGCATCCTCAAGCCCTCTTGGTGACTGTAGCGGGGAGGGACAGGAAAAGACGTCAAATGTTGGTGGCTGTTGGGATGGGAAGAAGCGTGAAAGCCAGCGAAGGTGGTTGTTTGCTGTACTGTGTGGTTCCCCCAGCATTAGCGCTGCAGCAGTAACAGCAGTAACAGTGGCGGTAGAACTACCACCAGCACCAGCACCAGCACCAGCACCACCACCACCACCACCACCACCTCTCGCAGAAGCATCTGTAGCGCCAGCAGCAGTAATTGCACCAGCGGCAGTAGCACCACCAGCAGTGGCTGCAGCAGTGCTCTCGTTATAAGGGTGCTGCTGCACTCGCTGACGCACAGTGCCCCATTTCGAGCTTATAACGAATGCCGCTCCTCCGGCAGAACCAACAGCAGCAGCAGTGGCAGCGGCAGCCTCAGCAGCAGCAGCAGAAGAATGGGTGCGTGCGGCGGCAGCAGCAGCGGCATCATCGGCAGGGGCTGAGAGAGAGTCTCTTACACATTTACTACTGCTACTACCAGGCGTGCAAGATTCCTCTTTAAGATTCACATAGTAGTAGTCTGGAAAAGAAACGCTTCTCGTGGCATTATTAGTAGTAGTTCCGCCTTCGCCTGGTAATTGTAGCAGCATTCCTCCGCCACCTCCTGGCGGAAACCACCGGCTAGGGGCGCGCGGGTTGGAGCTTCTTCCGCTTCCGCCGCTCCCCCCCTTACCGCCGCCCCTGTTGCCCCCGGCGGAGCTGTTCCCCCCGTTGTGCGCGGATTTGTGTCCGCCTAGCGCCTGCAGCGAGTGGAAGCGCGCTCCGCACACGAGGCACGTGAACTGCGGCAGTTGTAGCCCCGCCATTAAGACGAGAATTGGTCGAAGTCTTCGTGTGCTAAGCCTCAGCCGACGAGAATAGCGTCTCAGACTGTCAGGTGCAAGTATCGTGTGTAGAGCGTCGGGTGTGTGGAGATTTCAGCAGGATTGAGGGGCTCTAGGACACTCTTACTAGCATTATGAGCGGAGCATTATGAGTATTACTCCGAGTGACAGCTCAAAATTCGCGAGAGCGTGACACTGTCAGCAGCATGGGCAAGCGGCTCGTACGACAGATGGTAAGTGGTAGGCAAGGCAGTACCGCAGTAGTAGTAATGGTAGAGAGCGAATTTCGTCAGAGCTGTTGCTTGGGTGATTCTGTAAGCAAGTTCAGGAGAGAGAGGAGACAGCGCGGCTCTTGAAGAAAGAATCTGGCAGCTTGGGGAGCAAGAGGCTGGGAAACGGAGTTGTTCTGCTTATGAGTCGACTCGAAGGCAGACTCATGGACGAATTCCGCCGTGTTTCTTCGCACAACTCTGCATAGGCGACACGGAGAACCTACTACGAAGGTGGTTTCACCTGAGGCCGCGCCTATGCCACCAGCAAGCCTAAAAAACCAGGGGTCGAAAGCAGACCTACTGTTTTGGGGTTGGGAGTAGCTTCAAGCTTGGGAGCGGACGACGGCATTCTCTTGGGACCGGACGATGATGTGATGTGTAATGCTGCTCCCCCGACCCGGAGCATGCTTTTGGGAAAAGTTTGCAGGTTTGCGAGTCACTACGTGGCGACTCGAAGAAGGAACGAGTTGCGTTGCATGGTCAACACATCAGCGGCAGTTTGGCTGCTGGGAGAAACAGAAGCTTTGCTGTACGAATCGACCCCAGAAAAGCGGCTTTTTTTAGGGCGTGTCTGAAGTAAAACGTCGACGAATGTCCGTTTCGTCGAGGAATGTCGGTGAGTTTCAACCCTCGGATCGAGTGTTCCAACCGTCAGGATTCCTCGACATCCCTCAAAGTTTCGTCGAGGAATGTCGATGTTCACTTCAGACACGCTCTTAGCGAAATGCCTCACGTTTTCTTGGCGTCGTTGAATTCTGGACGGAAGCATTTATTGTTTCGCACCAATGTCGTGGAAGTCACTTTCGGGTGGTTGCCGTGCTGCGCTGTACAGAAGAGTCGGCTGCTTGCCATTCACGTTCAGCGAGGTTCACTCAACCGCCCGAAAGTGACTTCCTATTGGATCCTGGTGCGTGCTTGTGGGCATGTGTATTATTGACCTATGACATCATGCTGTTGGAAACTAGCCTTTCAATTCGAAACTGCCAGTTTCAGTGGACCGCATTTTCTGCGTGCGTGGGTAGACTTGCACAGCTGCGTTCTGGCGGTTGCGTGTCGTCAGGACCAGCGCTCTCTACTCGGCAAAACTTGACAACAGGCGTTGACAGATGGATCTTGTCAGGTGGCTGATTTGAACGATGATGAATAGGGTGACGGGGAGTACGTAGCAGTGATGGCCGCAAGGAGTTGCATTGATGGCCGCTGGGAGCAGCAGTGATGGCCGCTGGGAAGCAGTGGTGGCCTCAAAACAATCAACCATTGCCCTCGCGCGAATTTCGGTGTAACTTCGGTACTTAGCCAAGAGAAGTGGAACTCTATCCTTGCACCGTCAATTCTTCGGGTGGTGGTTTACAATCGTTGGTCGGTTACGATTCCAAAACAGTGCAGGTTTTACCCACATTTTCCTCCCCGTGGAACTGTAGCATTGTTCCAAATTACTTCTGGTACACTTGGATCGGATTTGCGAGAAGGGTAGCTTTGGAAACCGAAAACGAGCACAGTTGCAAGCCACGCTTGCGAGATTGGGAGGGATGATAGCAGACTAGCCAGGTATTCGTGATACCTACACTTTGAAAACATTCTAAGGTGTACGTTCGAGACTTCTCCTGTTTTCATGGTGTGTGTGGAGATATAGAGTAAAACCGCCATTGTTAATTTTGTCATATATGTGCTATCGGGGGTCTAGGGACTGCGGATCTCAATATATACTCGACTTGTGATCTTGTTCGCAAACTTCTGACGGGGCATATCAAAATCTGCGACTGACCAAGAGGAAGTCACGCGTTATGGAGGAACTGCCGCCAGGTCACTGGATACGCAATGCTGACGCTGATTGGCATTTTTTTCTCGTGCGCAATTATAATATGGCGCTTGGTCATGGGAGACGGAGTTATGTTATTCGTTAGAAGTTGCCTCTTCGTGACAGCGAAATGTTGCACACGTGACAGCACAGCGGTGCTGTAACGCAGATTCCAGAAACTCGGGAGAGTTGTGGTCAACAATAAAGCTCGACCTTCACGTCCAACTGCACGCTGCCGTCACCCTGCATATCAATTTCTGCGAATCCGGTTGTTCCTCGCTATGGTTATTTCTCGTTTGAAGGCCGTCCCTTAGAACTGTGTCAGAAATGGTAGACAAAACTGTGGGCAACACTATATACAAGTCGAGACTGGCCAATATTCCTTACAGGCATCGCAAATTCACCTATCCTTCAGCATCATCAAGCCACCCTATCAAATCACCACCGTAAGGGTCAGCGACTATTGACCAATCGAGGTCACTAGCAATCATGCCATTCGCATCGTTCCCACATAAAATGGTCGTGAGCATGCTAGCAGTGGCATCTTCTGGCAAGGTAAGGAGCCCGCATGAGCTCACGTGGTGATCATTGTGGGATGCGATACCATACAGGGGATGAGCCGGAAGAGAAGACGGGGGAGGAATATTGCGTGGAAGTGCAGTTTGCAAATGAGTTGGATATGGAGGGAAAGAATAACTAGGGCGCAGGAGAGGTGTATGAAGTGATGAACGTGCATTCATTTGGAAGTCAAGGGTGGATGAGGAATTTGGAGGCTGATTCTGGAGGGCCAATGGCAAGGCTTCCAATGCTCTTGTCGCTCCGCTTGTTGTCTGAAGCTCGCATTGCTTGTCTTGTCCTTGAAATTGACTCGGCAGAGGTGCCTCAAGAGTTGGGTTGGGCTTCACTAGAGGGTGATGGGCTTCTAAGGGCTTTGCTGCAGAAACGTCAACCCCATGAGTTCCCTCTGCTTGTATTGCCCTAAGATTCTGCTCGTGATGGTGCTGGTATTGCTGCTGATACTGCTGGTATTGATGCTGATGCCATTGCTGATATTGCTGTTGGTATAGCTGCTGCTGTTGTTGCTGTAGTTGCTGCTGCTGCAGTTGCTGCTGCTGCTGTTGCTGTTGATGTTGCTGTTGCTGGTGTTGCTGGTGTTGCTGGTCCTGCTGCTGCTGCTGCTGCTGCTGCTGTTGTTGCTGTCGTTGCTGTTGTTGTTGCTGGTGTTGCTGGTCCTGCTGCTGCAGCTGTCGTTGCTGTTGTTGTTGCTGGTTTTGCTGGTCCTGCTGCTGCAGCTGTCGTTGCTGTTGTTGTTGCTGGTTTTGCTGGTCGTGCTGTTGCTGCTGTTGTTGCTGTTGTTGTTGATGTAGTTGCTGCTGCTTCTGCTGCTGCAGCTGCTGCTGCTGCTGCTGCTGCTGCTGCTGCTGCTGCTGCTGCTGCTGCTGCTGCTGCTGCTGCTGCTGCTGCTGCTGCTGCTGCTGCTGCTGCTGCTGCTGCTGCTGCTGCTGCTGCTGCTGCTGCTGCTGCTGCTGCACCTGCTGCACCTGCTGCACCTGCTGCTGCTGCTGCTGCTGCTGCTGCTGCTGCTGCTGCTGCTGCTGCTGCTGCTGCTGCTGCTGCTGCTGCTGCTGCTGCTGCTGCTGCTGCTGCTGCTGCTGCTGCTGCTGCTGCTGCTGCTGCTGCTGCTGCTGCTGCTGCTGCTGCTGCTGCTGCTGCGGCCACTGGTGGTGATTCTGCTGCTGCTGTTGATGGTGGTGGTGCTGCTGCTGCTCCTGCAGTTCCGACACCTGAAGTTGGTTGTTTTGCTGCACATGAAGCTGTGCTGCTTGTGACACCTGGAAACGCGGCACCTGAGTTTGCACCTGACGTGGCACCTGATATGGCTGCGTGTCATATTGCTGCACCTGCTGCAGCTGCTGCTGCAGCTGCTGCACCTGCACCGGCTGATTGTGCTCGTGCGCTTTCCCCAGCGCCCTGCTCTCTGCAGCACCACCGACCGTTCTTATCCAAGCATGGCCCCCATCCAGTGCAGTCCACGACCTCCCATCCCCACCACTCCCCATGTGCTCCCACCCCATCCCATCCCACTGCCATGAACCCTGCGTTCTCTCCTCCTCCCACCTTTTCCCCTCCCTCCTTTCCTCCTCTCTCCTTTCCTCCTCCCCCCTCCTCCCCTCCCTCGTTTTCTCCTCTCTCCTTTCCTCCTCTCTTCTTGGCCCCTCCCTCCTTGTCTCCTCTCTCCTTTCCTCTACCCTCCTTTCCTCCTCCATTCGTCCCTCAGCCGCTTGATTGTCCTTTGTCGACATCTGAGTCGACTCAACAATCGCTTGATTATCCATCCTTCTCGTGCCCACCCCTAGCACCCCAACCCCGATGAGTCCTCTCCCTCCCCACCCCGGTATCCCTCCTGCATCACCAATGCTTATAGCCCCCACTCCCTCTTTCCCACCGCTCTCCTTCGCACTCCACATCCCCTCCTCCACACCTCCACCCCACAACCCCTCTCTTTCCAACATCTCCTCCCTCCTCCGCTGCTCCAGCCCCGATTCTTTCCCCTCCCACAACCTCTGGGCCTCCTCAAAGGTCCGCGATCGCCTCTCCTCCCTCCTGCGCTGCTCCAAAAGAGACCCTGTCCCTTCCCAGGCCAGTATAGCTGCCGCTACCTGCTGCGAGCTCGCACCCACCAGGGATTCATATACTGCTGGGCTTGCCCCCACCAGGGTCCCCGGTGGGGAAGCAGCAGCAGCAGGAGCAGCAGCAGAATGAGAAGCAGGAGCAGGAGCAGCGGGAGGGGAAGTAGGAGCAGGAGCAGGAGCAGCAGCAGCAGCAGCGGAGGGGGATGCAGGAGCAGCAGGAGGAGCAGTAGGGGGAGCAGTAGGGGGAGCAGTAGGGGGAGCAGTAGGGGGAGCAGTAGGGGGAGCAGTAGGGGGAGCAGTAGGGGGAGCAGGAGCAACAGAAGCGGGCGAAGCAGGATAAGCAGTAGCAGTTACCTGCTTTGAGCTCATACCCTCCATCGTAGCATGAGAAGCAGAGGCAGCAGCACGAGAAGCAGAGGCAGCAGCACGAGAAGCAGAGGCAGCAGCATGAGGAGCAGAGGTAGCAGCAGCACGAGAAGCAGAAGCAGCAGCATGGGAAGTCGAAGTGGTGGCATGAGACAGTGACATACTGGTGTCGTTGGCTTGGGGGACCGAATTTTGAGTCCACTCAAGAGTGATCTCCTCATTCGAAAGAGAGGTAGCAGCATGGGAAACGGAAGTGGCAGCAGCATGGGAAGTTGAAGCAGTGGCATGAGACAGTGACATGCTGGCGACGTTGGCTTGGGAGACCGAAGTCCATGGCACTTGAGAGGTGAAATCCTGCTGCTGCTGCTGCTGCTGTGGCTGATGCTGCTGCTGCTGCTGATGATGATAATAATGTTGCTGCTGCTGCTGTTGCCGCAGCTGCTGTTGCTGATGCTGATGCTGCTGCTGATTTTGCTGCTGCTGCTGTAGTTGCATTTCCCACCACCTCTCAGTCTCAAGAAAACGAGTCTCTAAACCTGCTGACTGCCGCAGTTGCTGCTGCCCATACCACTGCTGTTGCAACTGAAACTGCTTCTGCTGGGGATGCTGCTGCTGCTGCTGCTGCTGCTGCTGCTGCTGCTGCTGCTGAAACAAGGGATAGAGGTCCGAAAATGACCGCATGGCCCCATCAAGCCCAAACGGAGGAACCTTTCGCTTCCTCTCCCCTTCCACCCTCCTCGATGCATCTCCGTCTCTCCCTCCATCCCCCCTCCCCACACCACCACCGTCCAGCACCTCACTGCATCCCCCAGCATCCACGGAAGCAGCTGCAGCAGCATCACTGACAGCATCTACACCGGTCTCCACCCCACTCAACCGCCCAGCGACAGCAGCCGGAGCAGACAAGGCTGGGCCAAAAGCAGAAGGAGCTGCAGCAAGAGATTCTAGAGGGTGTGCCTCTCCCCCCTTGTCCCACCCCTGTGCCTCTCCCCCTCCGTCCCACCCCTGGTCTAACTCAAAAAGCATCGCTAGCTGCTGCTCTAACGCCCCGCCAACTCCCTTCTGCTCCACCCCTTCCCCTTCCACTTCCCCTTGGTTCTCCCCTGCCCCTCCTCCTGCTGCTTTCTCCCCTGCCCTTTCCCTTGATTTCTCCCCTTCCCTCGCTCTTTCCACCCTTCCCTTTCCATACTCTTCGGCCCCTCTTCTCTCCTCTCCCTCGCACATGTTTTCCTCTTGCAACGCTGCAGCTGCTGCTGCTGTTCCAGATGGTGCTGCTGCTGCGGTAGCAGCAGACATCGCGGCTGTGGCAGATTCAACCGGAACGGCTGTAGCAGTAGCTTCACCTGACGGTGCTACAGCTGGCGACGCCACTGCAGCACCGCTAGGAACCGTAGCAGGAGTTTCACGAAGAGAAATAGTCGCATGTTCAATTACCCTGGCACCCTCAGCTGTAGCAGTAGCCGTCTCGAGCTGTAGCTCTGGCTGAATCCTTCCGACCCGAGCTGTAGCTGCAGCCGTCTCCAGCTGTAGCTGTGTAGCGGCAGCGCTCCCTCCTCCCTGCAACCGTGCAGCTGCAGCTTTAGCTGTAGCTGTAACTGTAGCAGGAGCCGTGTCGAGCTGTAACTCTGGCTGACTCCTTCCAGCCTGTGCTGTAGCAGCAGCGACTTCAGGCTGTAACTGTGTCGCACTCCCCCCACCCTGCAGTTGCGCAACCATAGCTGTAGCCATAGCCGTAGCTGTAGCTGTAGCTGTGGCTTGGGACTTGTGTTTCTCCAGAAATCTCCTGCTCTCGGGAGACGTGGCATGACATAGGAGCATTGGACACGTGGCACGAAATGAGAGCATGGGACACGTGGCATGAATTGTGAGCATGGGACACGTGGCATGACATGTGGCACTGGTGATGGAAAAATACAGACCGCACAGCTGACCAAGGAAAACGGAAAGCAAAAAACGCACCAAAGACACACACACACACACACACACACACACACACACACAATAAAACCGAAAAAAAAAGAAAGAACGAAAGAAAAAAAAACGTCGCAAGATGTCCAACTTAAACGGCGCACTATTAAAAAGAGGATACAGTGGTTGGCACGGTGAGGTACGGTGTGACTCACTTTTTGAGGAGGATGAAGCGGTTGCAGCACGCCTTGTTGTCGCGCAGGGGCAGCGAGCGGCTTCGCTGCAGCAGCCCCCAGTTGCGCGTGCCGTAGCGCGTGACGTGGCGCAGCAACACCCTGTCCTCCTGGAGAGAGAGGGGGAAAGGAGGGGGAGAGAGGGGGGGAGAAGAGGGAAGACTTGAAGGACAGAGTGCGTGGCAGCTCTTACCGTAGCGCGTGACGTAGTCCTGCTGGTGGGATGGAAGACGAAGAGATGAGGAAGAGGGGGAGAATGGAAGGCGGAGAGGAAAGACTTTGGAGGAAGTGCTTGGCTGCGCATGCGGTAGCGCGTGCCTCTCTAACAGCATTAAGGCCGTGCCATGGCCTCAAAAGTCAGCATCCCTTTTGGGCCGACTCGAAAGTCAACAAAGCACCAAGGCACAAAGCACTTAGGCCATGGACCAAGCATTGACATTTGATCTTTGATCAACACGCGCCACGCCGATTACAGCCGCCGCCGCCGCGAACCTCGTTGGTCCAGCGGAGGAACTGCTCCGGGGGGAACGTTTTGAGAACTCTCAGAAATCACACAAGCCTTTGTAGCTCCTCAAAAGTCGATTACTGCCGCTCACCTCGTTGGTCCATCGGAGGAACTGCTCCGGGGGGACGTCGCCGTATCTGCCGCCGCCGCTGCTGCTAAAACCACCACCGGCTGCGCCGCCGCCGCCGCCGCCAGCACCAACGCCGGAATACCATCGCGGCGATCCCAGCTGCATGCTACTTGTGGGAGGCAATACCGTTTGACTTGATTCAAAAGGCAATAGGACACTCCGGGCCGGGGCATTGATCGCAGTTGGATCCCCCGAGAGGCCTGCGCCTGCGCCAGCGCTTCCGCAAAATATGCCTCCGCCAAAGCCTCCGCCTGGGCCTCCGCTTGGGCCTCCGCCTTGGCCTCCGCCTAAGCCTCCAACTAAGGTTCCGCTTAGGCCTCCGCTTGGGCCTCCCCCTATTAAACCTCCGCCTCCGCCAAAGCCTCCTCCTGAGCCTCCGCCAAAGCCTCCGCCATAGCCTCCCCCGGCACTCAATCACAGTTCAGTGGAGAAGACGCGGCTGCAGAGTGCGCAGCATCATGGGAGGAACGCGCATCATCGGATGAGGGCCGCGCGGTGAGAGCGTTGACAGGACACGTGACGGCGGCGAATCCAAGCTCACGCCGACCCTCCGCCGTAGCCTCCCATTGAGACTCCCCCTGACACTCCGCCATAGTTTCCCATTGAGACTCTTCCTGACCCTCCGCCATAGCCTCCCCCGGAGACTCCCTCTGAGCCTCCCCCATAGCCTCCTCCTGAGCCTCCGCCTGAGCCCCCGTCTGCGCCTCTCCCCCGTGCGGCGACCGTCGAAACGCTGTTGCTCGTTCCGCTGCGCGTCAACATGCCAGGTTCCGCCTGAGGCTCGCCGCTCCAAGCGGCGGGAGGCCCGCTGCCCGTAGTGGTAGCAGCAGCAGTTGGACTAAGAATATTACTAGTAAGAGAAGCTCCTGGAAGGGAAAATAGTGGATCCCTCCGAGTCGGACCCAGGCGGAAGCCTCCTCCGTTCCAGGACTCCGGCGGCGCATGATACCCGCTTCTGAAAACCCCGTTTGTGGTACTAGTGATGGTGGTATTCACATTCTTGATGCTCCTATGTGGCTGAATCGGTCGGCCGCGCTTCATGTCGAGCCACGGCGGCGAAGAGAAATGGCGCTCGAAAGACTATTATTACGCCAATTACTACTACTACTACTAATTTTTCCGGTGTCCATGTGGGGTTCTAGTAGTTCTACTGACCGCGGGCTAATCTCGGACATTACGACACCATTCGGATCTCCCCCCTCCAGCACGCGTCTTTTCCCATCATCGGCTAATGCACTTGAGAAAGAAAAAAACAACGTTGCGAGGAACTCCGTTCGGGAAAACAAACCTTCGAATCACTTGTTGGTGAGGAGTAGAACAAAGACGCGACAAAGAACAGAATGTGAGTTTCTCGCAAATGTGAAAGAACTTCCAAGTTTTCCGAGTTTCTGGGGTGATACAATGGCTTTCAACATCGGCGAGACATGGATCTCCCACTGAAGTTGTTACGTGCAGGAATCTCCTTCAGTGGCAACCGAGGAGGTCTTTGCCCTTCGAATAAGCTACGCGTTTCAAGGGCTGCCGAACCTTGCTTATCTGACTGAGGGGTAAGGAAGGAAGCCAGGAAAGGGGCATGGTTCAAGCAGCAAGGGTTTTATAATCATGCTGCCTCCTCTGTTTGTGCATGTCTGAGAGATATTGTGATTCGGAAAGTGAGGGGAGATAAGGCTGGTGCCGTGGAGCAGACCCCCCTGGACTCCAATTTGAAAGCAAGTTGGGAACAGAAGATTGCGACATTGCGCTTCGGGATGAAGAATGCGATGCGCTTGGAGAATAAAGGCACTTGTTCCGCCTATTTTTCTGCGTGGCAAAATGGATGTGGCAAAGATGAGGGGAGATTCATGAACTTGTCCACGTCGGTCGGTCAAGCGGAGAAAGTCGCAAAACATAATAGCTGCATACCATCGGGGCCAATTGTTGTATGGTTCTTATCCTGAAATTCGCTATTCCCTACCCTTCGACGCTGTTTTCGAGGGAGCGGTCTGCCCGGACTGCCAACTTGGCAGCACTACGCAGATTCTATAGCCAGTGCACAACGCCGAGAAAGTGAGACCAGGTTCAGTCTCAAATCCTGGTTGACCCAACGTCACCTAAGTTGTATTGTCGGCTGCTGATGTGGCAGCTGCTGTGCATAATGCTTTTGCTCCACGTGATGCTTGCGCAGGCGTCGTACAGTTATTATTTTACACCAAATATGTATTTTATTTTACACTAAATACGGTATATCTAAGAAGCATTTCAGCTTAGTTGGACTAGATACACAGCGTTTCAGCTTGGACATAAAAAGCCACCAGTCGGTGGCAAAATAAAGCAAATCAACCTGAAGACATCATCTCCAGCAAAAAGTCTGGGCGCAATGCCGGGACCTCACCATCCTCCCTTGGAACTTCGCAGCCATCAATCAGCTCTCCCATATCTAGCCCCAAACGCCCCATCATGCTTGTAGAGTGACCAGCAGCACCAATTTTATCAGGCCAGCCCGATGGCATACCAGCACCAGCTTCAGCATCCAGGAGAGTGAGGTCCGGCCACGACAGGCACGAGGTGAGGCTGTTCAGACACGCCAAAAGCTCTGAATCCGGCACAAGCACCGAACCAACGGGGTATACCCCAGCAGCAGCAGTGTCCCCAACATTTTTTGCATTGGCAATCGATGAGTGTGCTTCGTGACACTCTTCAGCGACTCCTGCGCTCTCTGCAGGCCAGTCGGCGCAGTTTCGACCAGCAAAAGCTGAGTCACGGGTGGAGAGATCGCACCCGGCATCGGAGAAAACACCGGGCGCGTCGACAAACCGGGCGGCAGGACGAGCAGGATAGGCGGCTGAGGGGATCGCTGCAGGAGAAGCAGGCAATGCAGGCAAGGAGGGAACGGTGTTGCTTCCATGGTTCATGGAATTCCGATGCCACTGCTGCTGCTGCTGCTGCTGCTGCAGCAGCAGCATTGCCGGGGTTTCATCCGACATTTCGGTGCCGTCACCGGGGGGTCTCATCGTTGTCTCCTCCCACTCCTCCTTGACCGCCCCCATCACCCTCGCTCTCTTCCACGCACGACCATCCTCGCCCCTCACAATGGTCGGAGAGCCGACAGATCGCACGCCAGCGGGGGCGGGAGAAGCAGCAGCGACAGCAGCAGTAGGAAGAGGACGAGGAGCCTGAGAGGCACTGGGACGCTGTTGAACCCCGCGGAGAGTCGGAGAACCAGGGGGCGCGGAACCGGGGGAAGAAACAGCGGGCGGACCAGCAGCAGGGTGAGCAGCGCCGAGAGAAGCAGCACCGAGCGGAGCAACAGAGGGAGTACCAGCGCCAGGCGGAGCAGCCACCGCCGCTGCCTGCGGACCCCGCGGGGTCCGCGGAGCTGCGCAGGGAGACAGGGCGGTAGAGGGACGTGCTGGCTGCTGCGCGCGCGGAAACGCGGAAGCGGCGAATGCGGCGTGATGGGGCGCGAGCGACGCGCGCGACGGGTTTGCGGAGAGGCTCGTCGAATTGTCCGAGCAGGCGGCGGCGGCGGAAACGGCGGCGCCGTCGGCAGCGGTAAAACCCCAATCCCCGGTCAGTTCGACGACGAGTTGCGGCGACGACTTCCGGGACGGCAATAAGTCGAGAGGCAGCGGGCGATGCGGCGACGGCGCGGACGCGGGGACGTCCGCGGCGGCGTGCGCGGGGAAGGACTTGCCGGGGATGGACACGCCACCAGAGACAGACGAGGGATGCTGCGGCGAGGAGAAAGGAAGATGCGGCGCGATGAAGGAGAAAGCCTCCATGGAATTCACGGAGGGGGAGTGCGGCAAGGTGGTAGAAGAGGGCACAAGCCCGCGGGCCGAGAGGTGCTGGTGGTGGTGATGATGGTGGTGGGGAGTGGGCCCCCCCGCGGTGCTGCCCATCCCCGTGATTACGGAATTTAGAATGGATTGCTGATAGATCCCGCGCGACGGATGATCACTGCTCCCAGGCGAGTGCTGCTGGTTACCTCTGCCAAGCGAGTGGTACCTCGGAACGGAATGCAGCGCGGAAGCCGCCGTGGCGCTCCAATGGTGCGGCTCGCCAACCGGCGGAGACAGCGCCAGTGGCGGCAACGAAAGCGCGCCGCTAGGAGGTGACGAGCTGACGGGATCAGAACCCATAGGGAACACACCGCCGGCCGCTGAGGGTGAACCGTCTTGCTCGATAAATTTCCTGCGAGGAGAAGACAAGGCGCCGATGAGAGGCGTCGATGAGAGGACAAGGCGCGGAGGCAACGGCGGGGTGGGAGAGTCGATGAGAGGAGGATCCACAACCCACAAGCATATTCGACGCGAATTTCGAAAATGAGTAATGCACGTAAAAATATGAATATGTAAGTGGTACGCGACGCACTTTTTGAGGAGGATGAAGCGGTTGCAGCACGCCTTGTTGTCGCGCAGAGGCAGGCGGTTGCTGCGCTGAAGCAGGCCCCATTGGCTCGTGCCGTGCAGCATCACGTGCTCCAATAGAATCGCGTCTTCCTGCGCGCCGAGCCGAGCCGAGACAAGAAATTACGAGATGAGACAAGACGGCATCGGAACATATGAGACAAGTGTTGACGGGACGAGAGGATTTACTAACGACGGGTTTAAGACCATGCAAGTATCCTGAGTCGTAAGACATAAGGGATCGGAAAATGCAAGCCAGAGTTGCGTTTTTTCGTGCAAAGCTGCGCTAAAATGACTGGACTCCGGGTGGAGGCTTTGCTATCCGACTCCGGGTGAACATCGAACGTAATCGCCTGATGTTCCAATTGAATGCGAGCCAAAATGCAGGAGCGATGCTCGAGCATTGTGGTCGGGAGTCCAAGGAGGAGCTTCCAAGAAGAAGCTTACCTCGGGCGTCCATCGCGCGATGTAATGTCTGGCAGGCCGCGTTTTGACCCTCGTCCTCGTCGAACACGCTTCGCCGGAAATCGCATCCATCCTGTAACAACGATAGGCGAAAGTCGCCGAAGGCGTCTGTTATTGCTCCGTGTCGTGCGCGAATAAACCCGCGTTTCGTGAAGCACTTGAATGGCTTCGAGGACTCTCTATCTTGAAAGGTGGTGGCGATAAAGCTCCAGCGATATTTATCAGCTGAGGATCTTGCAGCTCTTGAAGGAGCTTTCGTTTCGCAAGGGTGAGCTTGATAATACGCGAATGAGTGTTTATCAACGTTCCTCGATGTGGCAAGGAAACGCGGTAGCTAGCAGCGTCACAGTGACTTGAAAGTCTGGTCTTGGCAGAAATTAGCAAGGTTTCGTATGGTGTGAGGAAGTGTGTGTGAGTCCAGTCGTGCGTTGGTGTTAGCTCACGTCGTTTTTCCGCGTCAAACATCTCGAGCGCAGAAGAGGTGGGAGGTGAGGGGCGACTCTCCTCAGGTCTGGGGAAGGTAACTCCGGACCGGGGAAGAATTCTGCAGCTCTGCTGAATTTGAGGCACTACGGTATCGGCGCGCTGCGCTGGTCCTTGTCAGACTGGGGGGAATCGGCTCGGGAAATGGTTGGGATGGATGGTGAGTGTGCGGAAAGGGCGGAAAGTGCGGAAAGCGCTCGACGACGTCGCGCTCGCGATACGCCAGGTTTGGTTAGCAACGTCATAGAAGGCGGGGGAGTATTTGACCGCGCGGGTATCAGATTGGGTAGGGAAATGGCAAGGGAATGGGTGATTCGTTGAGGGGGAGGGCTGGGGGAAAGGGAAGAGGGACTTTTTGTGCGCGGGAGGGGGGAGGGTCCCGTTTGCCAGCAAGCACCCTATTTCCGCTGGTCGCATCCTATCCCCCCCATCCCCTCCCCGGACCCCCTATGCACCCCATTCCAATCCCCAAATCCCCGCCCTTCACAAGCAACCTGTCCAGCTGTTTCCCCAACTCCGGAAAACGGCTGGTTGTCGGAACAGATTGGCAAGCGAGGGTGGGCCCACGCTCACATGGCGGAAAGAGAAAGTGTGCACAGTCGATCCCGGGTCATGGCGAAAAGCGGGAAACCGCGGGTGTCAGCGGACGGCATTTGGGCGGAAAGCTGGAATGCCGGCGTCAAAAAGCTTGCTTGATGAGTCATTGGCTGGAATTGCTGATGGCTGGTACGGTGCACAGCATTTCTGTTCGTGCGAAATACGCATCTGACGGTGACGATGTGCTAAAAGCCAAAGACATGAATATCTTCTAGAGATATCTCCTGAAGCTGCGCGAGACTGCAACACTACTGATTGGCCGATCACTGCAAACACTGCGTCCAATGGTGGCCCATCAAAACGTCCCTTTGATTTCAGTAGGGCCAAAAGATTAAACTGCGATGCGCTACTGTGGAGTACTACAGCGTGTAGCAGAAACATTTTGCCAAACCACTGCGCCCACTTAGGAACATGCATGTATGCACAACAAACAAACGAACATTACTCGTGTCTGTTTGAAGCGTTCAAAGGACTAGGTCCAGTTTTGGCAGATGCAACAAACCTACCCGTTGGGGTGAAGTTCTTTGGGAGGCAATCATTTCACCCGTGTAATCGCATGTGCAGTTCAAAGAATCCCGGTGAGAAATATCTACCGGCTTTAGAGTAATTCGCTGTTACAAAGAGGTTCCTCCAGATACACCCATAGTTCTGTCTCCACAGACACGCCTCCAGGTACTTCATGTAAAGTCAGTAGTGTACATTTTCAGGTGAGTAACTACACTACCTCCGCACCTGCTTGGAGGAACTAAGCAGCACTCCCTGGTGTGGCGGTCGTCGTCGTCCTAGAAAAAATACCTCATTTACAAAAACTAGTGAATAAGTTGAAGGTACAACTTATCTACAAAATACGTGCGTAATACGTTTAGACTAAACTCATCACCACATTATGATAGTCGCTCTTTCTATATGCTCCAATACCACCGTTCCCCACCCTGTACTTCATGTAAAGTCAGTAGTGTACATTTTCAGGTGAGTAACTACACTACCTCCGCACCTGCTTGGAGGAACTAAGCAGCACTCCCTGGTGTGGCGGTCGTCGTCCTTCTAGAAAAAATACCTCATTTACAAAAACTAGTGAACTGGTTGAAGGTGTTAGAATTTGAAGTGAGTTTGTAGGATCGTACTACTTAGGATGGTAACTTCCTGACGTAGCGGAAGTCTTATATGAGTTAAAGCTGTTGAAAGAACAGTTGCAAGTTCGAAACAAGAAAGAGAAAGAGGGATTGCACTAGCAAGCAGTTGAGTACATATCGCAAACCCTAGATTGGGTTGTACTCACTATTGAGTACCCCACTGCAGACTAGACAAACATAACATTCTGACACACCCCCATAGCCAAAGTGGGGTGTAATCAGCACAACAAGCAAGCAAAAACAAGCTCAGGGTGGATCACAATGTCACCACACATTATGAGCACAAGTACAAAAAAGCAACAGTTTATAGTTCACAGTAATAAGTAAAGCTAGAGGCTATCACAGAGGGAAAGTGAGGAGGAGGAGAGACTGTGAGAGGAGTGAAGATAGAAGGTGACGGGTGAAGCCGCAGACACACGGGCAACAGGAACGGCGCGCACGGTGGCTACCGGAGCACTCAACCTCCGAACTACAGGAGTAACTGGCTCCGCGCTAAGCAGCAGCAGGAGCAACAGACCCACGGGCGACTGACAGCAGCAGGCTACCTCCCTTCAACCTCCCCCACTGTCGCACCCCCCTTTCACACACCCCCCGCTGCACCCCTAGTGTCACTCCCACACGATACACCCCCCTAGTGCCACTCCATCGTTTCCCACACACCCACCCCCCTCAGCGGCAGCTGCAGCAGTGGGAGACGGAGGAGGAGGAGGAGCAGGGGAGACCGCACACAACCGTCACCCCCACACCCGCCACCCCCAAACCCCAACACAGGGTAGGGCCGCAGGAGGGGCGGCAGCTGGGCAGGGCTGTGACGAAGACAGGGGCAGGGACGGGCAGGGCAGGGCCGGACAGGGCCAGGGTAGGATGGTAGGGCCGGTCAGGGCCGCGACGAAGACGGGAGGGGCCGACGCGCGGCCCCCTTCTGTCGCGCGGCCCCCCCTCCGGATCGCCTCGACAGGCGACGGGAATTGGGGCCGCGCGGACCCCCGGTGGCGCCGCGACGGGCGACGAGGGGGCCGCGCACGAGCCCCCCGGGCGACGAAACCGCCGTGCGCCCCGGGGCGCGCGACGGGTAGGGCACCGCCGCGCGCCACGGGGCGCACGACGGGCAGAGTAGGGCGTCGCGCGGCCCCCAGGGCGGCGCGACGGTCAGAAAACCGCCGCGCGCCTCGAGCGCGCGGCGGGAAGAAAAATGGTCGCGCGCCATGGGCGCGCGGCAGGCAAGCAGGCAGCGCGCGCCCGAGGCGCGCGATATACAGAGTAGCAGCAGCGGAAGTATTGGGTGGGCCCATACACAGGATCGACCCGAGGGGGTCGACCTGCTCTGATTCCATGTTGAAATGCTAGGCAGAATCAAGAAACAGGAAAGAGGGATTGCACTAGCAAACAGTTGAGTACATATAGCAAACCCTAGATTGGGCTGTACTCACTATTGAGTACCCCACTGCAGGCTAGACAAACATAACATTCTGACAGCATCCTCCCCTTGTCGATCGCGTCCTTGACGAAGAAGTAACGCAGTGAGATGTGTTTCGTGCGATTGACGAAGCCGGGTTTGTTGGCGATGGTAATCGCACTTTGGTCGCACTGCAACGTAAACTGATTCGGCGTGACGAACTTTGCTTCGTCGAGCAGTTCCTGTGAGTATAGTCCTTCTCGAGTTGCAGCACACGCGGCAATAAATTCTGCTTCAGCTGAGGAAAGTGACACGAGTTCCTGTTTCGATGAGTTCCACGAAATCGGGCCAATTGGCTCGAGACGAAAAATGTAGCCTGTTCGTGACCGGCGATCTGATGTGTCACCAGCGTGGTCTGCGTCAACATATCCGCTGAGGTACATTTTGTCGGTCGGTTTTCCTGTGTTGAAAATCAGCCCGACTGTTGATGTTGCAACAAAATAGTGTAGAGCGCGCTGAAGATCGAGATGATGTTCTTCTTTTGGGCAGCGTAAAAACTGTGCGAGATAACTTGCGACGTACGCAAGGTCTGGACGACACGTGACTGCTGCGAAGAGAAGGCACCCAAGTTACTGCTGGTACTGTTGTAAACCAGCTGC